GGATTGTCTATTGAAGAAGGGTGTGCCTGAGAAGTTTATTAACATCCTAAAAGCCTTATATACAAACACCTCAGGTAGAGTGAGGGCATACAACCACCTTTCTCCACTATTCCATTCAAGCAGTGGAGTTAGGCAGGGTTGCCCAATCTCACCATTCCTCTTCAACTTTGCCATCGATGACATTCTGGAAACAGCTCTGACGGATGTAAGTAATGGTGGTGTGGATCTGTTGCCTGGAGAAAGACTTCTCGACCTTGAGTATGCGGATGATATTGTCTTACTGTGCGAGAATGCCCAAGCCATGCAATCCGCACTTAATCAGTTGGCAATCAATGTTCGTAGGTATGGTATGTGCTTTGCACCTTCGAAGTGCAAAGTACTTTTACAAGACTGGCGGGACCCTGATCATGCACTCACCTTGGATAGTAAACAGATAGAAGTAGTTGATAAGTTCGTGTATCTAGGTAGCTGCATAATTGTTGGTGGTGGCATGATTGATGAGATCAATTCACGTATAGTGAGAGCCAGAGCGGCTGTAAAAGGTCGGATCTACGACGCGTCGGTGAGAGCAGTTATGCTCTATGCTTGTGAAACCTAGCCTCTCCGAGTTGAGGATGTTAGCCGACCTTGTGTGTTTGATCATCGTTTTCTTTGAAGGACTGCTGACAGCCAGTAGCGACACTATGTGATTAATGCAGAGGTTCGGCATCATGTGTTCGAGCACAGCTACAATAATGCAGTTAGTTTCACTCATCTTGAAACATCGACTTCGGTGGCTTAAACATGTCCTACGAATATCGTCCCAGCGAATTCCACAATGCATTATTTGCTGAATCTGGGACTGGTTGTAAAAGTGGAGAGGTGATCAATGTGTGACATGGTGTCGTCGTAAGAAAGAAAGCTGTACAGCACTGGTTCCTCTTGGTCCTTCACGACTCCCTGGTTGGGGTCCTAGAGATGGTGCAACACAGTGGTTTGAAACGTTATCGGACATTACTAAGAATAGAAGTCAGTGGCGATCGTACAGTAAATTTCTTTTACTTTCTTAAAAAAACGGACGTAACTTCTTTGACCATAAGAATTCTCTCTGGTTGTACCTTTGCTAACTGAACTGCCTCTCGTATTATTATTATTTCACTAATTTCTGCTCGTCTTTGTTTTCTACACTATACTTTCTCTATCCCTTCACATTCTCTTTGTTATTGTGTGGCTCATATGTATTTGGGGTATCTTTGTATCAATATTTATGTGTTCACGTGCTGTATTGTCTTTTGAACCCATTACAATTTCACCGACCAATAAGTGAACCAAGACCCTAATGCTTCTTGGTCTTCAAGGCCCTTTCTAATCCAGTGGACAATCAGAAGACGATGGTAGGAGGCAGACTACTTTTCTATTGAACCTAATTCGATCATGACCAAAAGCTCATAAATTAATACACTATAAAAGCCTGACCATAGGCCACGCCAAATAAGAAATCAATTAAAGCACAATTATGCCATATGTGGTAGAAGGTGAAGCGAACATTAGATAATCATTTAGTAATGATTGAAGAACAGTAAGATGCATAAGAATAGTTAATAAATCCACTGGAACCTTCTAATTAGTGAGATAAAGGGATGTAACAATGTAGTTATCTATTAACTATACAATAAAGATATAAATAATAATAATCCGGAAAATAGCACCGAGAGTTTTGGCCCTCCAATTTTTGTTCTGTAATAATATATACTATCCAAACAATAATTTTGATATCTCGAGTCATAGTTTGAGTACGACATTCATAATTGTTGGGCCATATTTACACTGCACACTTTATCATGTTCATTGTAGATGGGTGGGTGGTATTTTTGACCATTAAAAACGTGATTATTATGTGGGTACTGAATTGATTTATTTTGTGTTATTTATTAGGTTGATGCCCATTCTAATAAATTTCTGTCGACTTTTAGTAATGGTAATTTATTGTTTCTTATTTTGTAGGTTATGTAATTTGGACTCTACTTATCCTGTCCATCTACATTCCTCTTATGAATATAATTATTATTTTGATAGACTTTTTCTTAATAATTGATCTAAAACTGGGTTAAGCTGTATATTATCACTTAGTCCCTTCACTTATTCATTGTCTTTTAATCTGTTTAGTAATTTACTAGTTAAAGATTTTACTAAGATTCAGTCGATTGTAATGAAATATTGAAGGTGGGCTAACCAATATTTTTGCTCACTCAACTGATCCTCGAATATCAAAGAAATAGAACGGAATCATTAGCCAACTCGTCGAGTATATAAACCAATAATAAAGAATGAAAGCTATTATTTCTATGCAAAATACTCAACTATGAGTTATTTTCTAATAATTATAAAGCTGAAGGTTACCTAAACAACATATGGCAATTCACTACATTCTGTTTTAACCAAAAGTAAACATGAAAAACATTAAATGATGATTTTTCCTAAAAATCTAAAAAATCAGTTATGCAATTAATAAGTTATAAAATGTCAATCTAAAAAGGGATGAGTAAATCTGGCATGTGTATGATACAAATTTTCCCGTTAGTGAACACGTTCTGGTAAACCATTGAATATAAAAAGCATTGCTAGTTTTACTGCCTTGGTCAGAAACGCAAGATCTCTGTTACAGTTGGAAAATTCAGGTCTCTTATCATCGTTTTTAAATCATTTAATTTCCTTATGACTCACCAAGCATCAACAATTTTGACTCGGCAATCTAAACTTCTGTTTGGTCGTCATGGTCCAGCGTTTATGATTTGCTTTATAGTTCATTTCCTAAAACATTCTGAACCCAGCTTATAGGCAATCAGCAAACAATGATAAAACCAATAATAATAGGGAGGGTTAGTCTTTGATTAATTGTAATCGTAATGACCTTAGATGGTTGATTAATCAAACATGAAGCGTATAAGAAATGAAACGAATTCCTAAACTGTGCTAGTCATTCACGTCTACTATAGCTGTCATTCACACAGTATCCAGAATTTCCCACTAACGTTCGCTGTCCATTAGATGGTTGCTTTACAACTGGAATCGGCGTATGTAATGTGGTGTGTGCTACTTATGTAGACACAAGTAGTATATTATGTTAGTCGTGAACAGAATGTCTGGCAGCAGAGAGACAAAAAAAATCGAACAGTAAAGAATGAAGACAGAATGCAATTTGTGTGAAAATGCAAGAACAATGAAGTCTGAGTCATTTGAGACAGTTGATGGACATTTTGCAAATAGAGCATTTACTATATGGTGGTAAGATTTTATTAACTAGTCCTGTAATTTTGTGTTAAACACATTCGATTGTTCACGATTGGTGTTCTTGTTCACTACAGTGGTATTTTTTTCATAAAGGTTTGAAAAGAATCGTAACAACAGCATTGACATTTACCGGAAAGATATTCCGTATCACTGGCGCGATAATATTTGATTAATTCAATTTTTTGGTGGATTTATACTTTCCTAATTCACTGTTGAAATGCGGTCGGAACTATTATTGGTGTCGGTTTATGTTAAACCTGAAGTACCACAGGAAATTCCTCTCATTATGTAGTTGAATATCTATAATTTTCATAAACCAATTTTGCGTTGATAACTGATATCTATTACTAACTTCACTCATCAGATAGCTGTAAAGGACCTGTCATCTTTTAAAAGTATACTGCACCCCGAATACTGAAAACACATACCAAAAAATTAGATGGTTAAGTGTAAATATTTTGTGTCAAGGAGGTATAAAGTCACCAACCCAACTTATATTATGAGGTCGATCTGAATGATTACAATAATGTAGCACGGCAGATGATGACTTACTACGTGAACGAACTACTGGAGACAGAAAGAGGTAGACAAGCACAACAATACATCCACTACTAAACATCAGTCATAAACAGGAATGCCATTCATCCTATAATGACTAACTCATCGTTAGACCAAATGTATTTTAAGTCTAATGGGGAAAATAATAATCCCCAGTTTAATTTTGTCAAGGTTATAGATACTGAAATGCAATTGGTTGGTGAGATTTAAGTTAAACAACTTAGAAAGAAAAGTTAGGGAAGAAAGTGAGCGATGGCTAAACAGAGACCGATTGTCGACAACGATCAATAAGCATTATTATCCATCGATCTACTAGAGAGTAAAATAAAATCAATTAAAAGCGGTAAGATACAAACCGTGTGGTTTTCTTTATAAGGAAAATTATTAAATGTGAATTGTAAGTAAACAGTGAGCACAAATTTGTTTATCGACTTCCTAGTAAATTCTGTAGCATATGCATGCGTGTCAGACATAAAGTATACTCATTAATAACTTACCTGATGCCCCTAAAAGTTTGTTTTGCTTTGATGCTCATAGAAAAGGCTCTTTCCTATTATAATCTCTTTATTTATTAATATTTACTTAAAATAGAAGTGAACACCCGAAGATAATCATTGAAAACTTTTTTCCAAAAAATCAGGAATATCAATACGGTCAAACAGCCCCACGATAAAACAGAAACACTGCTGTAATTTCTTATATTTAATGATATTCTCAAAAACTCCTAGGGTTATCAGGAAGTTATTAATAAGTATACTTTATGTCTGACACGCATGCATATGCTACAGAATTTACTAGGAAGTCGATAAACAAATTTGTGCTCACTGTTTATTTACTATTCACATTTAATAATTTTCCTTATAAAGAAAACCACACGGTTTGTATCTTACCGCTTTTAATTGATTTTATTTTACTCTCTAGTAGATCGATGGATAATAATGCTTATTGATCGTTGTCGACAATCGGTCTCTGTTTAGCCATCGCTCACTTTCTTCCCTAACTTTTCTTTCTAAGTTGTTTAACTTAAATCTCACCAACCAATTGCATTTCAGTATCTATAACCTTGACAAAATTAAACTGGGGATTATTATTTTCCCCATTAGACTTAAAATACATTTGGTCTAACGATGAGTTAGTCATTATAGGATGAATGGCATTCCTGTTTATGACTGATGTTTAGTAGTGGATGTATTGTTGTGCTTGTCTACCTCTTTCTGTCTCCAGTAGTTCGTTCACGTAGTAAGTCATCATCTGCCGTACTACGTTAAAATTTTTGTAATCGTTTTGAATTTTACTTACCGGATAGGGTCATTTTATTTGAATACTAACAATTCTACTCTGTTAAAGCGTATTGTAGGATGGGTAAATTAATCTGAAAGTTTTTGAATAGTTCTTAATATATAACAATACAGGTTACATATTCGTCAGTGATTATTTTGTTTTGTGGTGTTACAACAAACCTAAAATATGATTTGATTTATGATTGATAAGTTGAATAAAATCCAAGGAGAACTAAGTTGCTAAAAGGCCTAATGATCATTTTTTATTAGTTCTAATCTGTGACACTACAATTTTGAGTTTTTGAAAACTGACTATTACATGGGGAAGTTCACGCAGTTATCAGAATCGCTTGTTCGACATGTCAATTATGAACAATATATCGGCAATACAAACTGTGTTTAACACAAACATAGATTAGGAGAGAGGGTTTTCCAGATAATAGATTTAGTCACTAAAAAAATTCACGCATACGTATATCCATCCACAGTTTGCTTCTACGGTTGCTTTGATGACATTGATTTTGTAGTTGGATATCTCCTCAGTCAGTTATGATTCGGTTAGTCTAGTGTACATCATTAACACCAATAAAATCCATCTCCATTCCTGAACATCATGAACTCTCAATCACTAGTTTATCTGTTGTCTTTCCAACTGATATATACCACTAACCTCATTTTGGCTTTGAACTTTCAATCAGGATTTAAAAAATATGTTTGAATTAACTATTAATACGACAGTTTCGATAGCACAAACTAACGTAGGTATGTTTTTGACAACTTTTTGGAATGATGAATTTCTAATGAAAGAAGACATAAATAAAGTTTATTTGAACGGGAAATTTTCTGTTTATCAATCATTTGTAATTTCCATTTTTAGTCAATGATATAATTGTCTATTTTATTTGTCAGTTTGACTGAATCGTGTACTGACATTCATATCATTAACAAAATATATGTTAGCGGACTGCCTTTTGGACAGTAGTTGGTAGGTGATCGATAAATACTTTATCCATCTTACCATCTCGATAAAAACCGAAGGTAAATGTTTGAAGCTCTCAAACTCAAGGTCCAGTGGTTGGGAATTCAACCTGATGTTTGAATATGAAATCTTTCAACAAATAAGCCACACGTATTCTCATGCTCTAGAATAAATCCATTGTTTAGCAAGTACAGAGTATAATATCTGAGAGATGATCAGCAAGCAAACTCGCTTTATCTTAATAGCACCTCAACATTCTAGTTCGTCTACCCGAATAACACTTATGTTATATTTATGTAGAAAAATGAGAAAATGTTCATGTACATTTCAATCAGTATACGAGAGTGTTGGAAGATTCCTTTTCATAATAATATGGAGTCGAAGGACTCTAGACCTTTTGCTAGTAATCTGTAGATGATACATTGATTTTAACTTTTGACTGAATGTGTTGATAAATACAGTTTCATTATTATTGGAAGACCCAAGCAACCTTAAGAAAATGGGAACCTTTCTATAGTCAGTTCTTTTAATCTAGTTTTCTACTCAGTAATGAAGACTTGACTGAATCACAATCCTCTCTCTGATTATCAGGTGACAGCACCAATATGTAACTGGGTCTTCATAATTTCAATACTTCGTTTAGTATAGAGTATATATTATGGCCATCACATACTATCAGTCATGAATCTCTATCATCCTTTCGAGTTTTCTTTACTTATAACATATCTGAAAATATTTTGAAAGCGGGAATTGGCACATGATTTTCGTAATGCCTAAGTCTTTTAAGTTTAATTTGAAATGTAAAGTGTATTACACTACTAAATTATGATCACCTTGCCTGAATAAAGAAAGTTCAATCGTTTTGAACGACATTTTTATCTAATTAAGACCATGCAGAAACTGAAAGCAGCATGGAAAAATCACTTATTCGTGTGATATTAGAACGTTATAAGCAAAATGGTGTTGTTGGAAGACCTGTGAATAATAGTCGTGTGAAAATGGTAGTTCAGTATGGTCTCCAAATGATTCAACTGCTTGGGCTTGACGAAAATAAACAAGTTTTAAGGACAAATTGTTGGGCTGTATATGTAAGTTGGGTTTTTGTGATCTACCGAATTCCCATTGATCATTGTATTTTGTTTTCTCATGAGTGTTACAAATGGTGTGATTTAAATAGACCATTTTCTGGCTATGATGAATCTAGAGTTAAGTCATCTTAACTCGTTTCTTTATTTGACAAGCATAATGGTCTTTAAATCATGTTAAAATCAAGGTACACCTGATGTGGTGTGATAACAGGAGCTAATTGATATGATTCAACAGATTTAGGTCAAGTGATTGCATACATAAAATTTTAAAAATAGCTTCTCTTGAAAATTTGAAAATTCATCACTAAAAAGAAAAGTCGGAGATATAAGCACTTATCCCCTGCTCCTCTTACCCATTATTTAAAGCACATAAATTCTGATGCAATAAGGCATCATAAATCATAGGCATAACACATATGAAATAATAATCTACAGAATGAAAAGAATGATAGGACAATCAACAAATTGAGGCAGTTCAGTCGAAAGATAATGACTAAAGAACTCTTTCACTGAATTAGTTTTATCTTACTTAAATGAAGAATGTCGTAGAAAACTACATCAGGATCGCTAGTAGTTTCTGTCCTGAAACAGGTCTGATAACGTATCAAGTTACTCATTTGTGCCATTTCTAGAACTATAACACTAGACTCGTGGTGAACCTACAGATACCAGTCTTATACAGGTTATTCTATAGATTGACCAATCCCACTTTTTTTCACCCAGGGTTGGAAAATAACACATGGTGTAGGAGACTCTTGGGTAAAATTTGTAGGACATTCTCAAGCCACAAAGATAGATACAATTGAACAAAGAGTGCTAGATATTAGGATCAAAAACATTCTCGGCATCGGATGCGGACACTACACTGCAGAGAGTCACCAAACATCCTTAACTCGAGGGGATCAGGTCTCACAAGCTTAGAGTAGAATTGTTGTTATGAACTGATCGCAAAACTCGACCTTCTACTCCAAACTAATATCACGAATGCATTAAAGATACTCCAGATTGGTATAAGTCTATCATCTAACAAGCCACCACCAGCAGTGACACAAGTACGTAGATAATCGAACGTTCCAACTATTTTTAACAGTTTACTACATAGGGTGCATTTCTAAGGTGCGAAATATATGCAGTACTTACGGAAACTAATTGTCAAATGATTGAGTATTATTTGCAGACTGTATTATTGAACAATGAAATCATCTCACTTACTCAAGCAAGGTCTGAAAATCTTTTTCCAGTTAACAGATTAGAGATGTTTCCAGAACGTCATTGACTGAAAAGTTCAAGATGAGTAGTGTGACTGAGATACCCTACGTAATACCTCTATTTTATTGAAATATCAGAGGAAAATGGTTGCATATCATTACTCTTCCCGAAGTGCTTTTACAGAAAGCTTTCAAGATTTAATGATCATATCAGACACACCCCGATTCAAAAGCGAATCACACGGCACACTCCTATTTAACGAATTAAAGATGATTCTGACATCAACAAATAATTGGAAATATTTCACAAGTATTCCTGAATATAGGTAGCTTAGAAGTAGTCTCTGAAAGTGGTACTTGTTTATCAGTATTCAAATTTCGAATAGGTAATAAGATCCCTTAAGTGTTCAGGCAAAATGCAAAAGACATTGGTTTAATCGTTGTTGGCTATAATTTATAAACATTTGAAATCCAATAAAGTATATGATGGTCTGGAGTCACTTCATCTTGTAAATATGTTACGAATTTGTTTTATAGAATTCGAGTGGCATTAAAGTCTAGACAACATAATATTAATTACCTCTCAGTATTCGGTTTTCTTACTATTAATCTGTTGGTAAAAAGAAAGGAAGAGAAATTCAATTTCGAGAAAATTATAAAATGTTTCAATTAAATCAGTAATTAGAAACTATTCTGAAATCTAACACTGCAAAATGATGTTCCTGAAATTTTGCAAATGATTTGATTATATATGAGAAGGCAATTTTTATAATGAAATAAAGAATTTCCGATGTAGGTTTTATATGATAAGCTTCTCTTAGCAAACAATATATCAAAAACCAGTCATAAAGTTTGTGGTTTATTATTAATCGGTAGAACATTTTTCACTGTTTTATTTCAATGTAACACAGAGATGGAGTGATTCATTATTGAAATGGAATGCAAGTCAGTATGGTGGTATTAAAGAATTGAGAATATTTCCACATCAAATATGGACACCTGATATTAAACTCTATAATTTGTAAGTTGTTTTCTCAAAAAAACTACTGGTGTCTGTGGAAATGAACTAAATCCTTTAAACTTTTTAAAATTTATTACGCAACCCGTATGAGACTTTTCTGGTTCTATATTCTTCTGGTCTTATCCTTCTTTTTCTTTTTCTGAAGTATTTTTTCAATGATCAATCATAGATATTCAGATAAATGTTTCAACAACGCTTCTCATTGTCAGCATTTTAGAAAAGTTTATTTGATGATGCACTGTTATGGAACATTTTAGATCAATAAAAAATCCTTGTTAGTTCGGTTAAGATTAAAAGTATGGTAAATTAAAATAATTTTGTTTCAACTGTTGTCACTAATTGATTCAAATAACTTTTCAACACTTAGAGAAGGCTTAATTTATCTAATAGTAAGGACTTCTATAAACCTAAGAGGTCACCTCTTACAGTTAAAATATAAAGATCTCAAAGCTGTAATACGGCCAGTACTTCAACATGTTACAATTATATGTCCTGGTATACGGGTTTTCTGATGCCTACTGGTAATAAAAAAGTAATTTATTTGAACCATTTTGAAGTACTTTTATAAGCTGTGATCCATGAAATAGAAATACCTACCATAGTCCATTCACTAGATTAAATTGAAGGAAATAACTGATGTCACATTCACCCTCCGATATATTTTTTTTGCAAATTTCAGTGCAGATGAACGTTTACAGGAATTTCGAGAAGGTCGCTTAGTAGTAGATAGCAGTGGCAATATACTGTGGATTCAGCAGGCATTATTCAGAAGCACATGCCAAGTTGAAATTACATACTTTCCATTTGATAGTCAGGTGAGTTGTTAGAGGAAGAAAGACAACTTCACAAGCATATATTTAAAAAGATTACCCAAAAATGTTAATAAATTCATTACTGTTATCTAGAAAAGTTGGTATTCTTTAAATATTGCCATTATAGAATTCATATCAGTTTGAATCAAAAATTACTTTACAAATAACCCAGTCCTTGTAGCCGTCAATTTGAATGTTGTAATTAGCACCCCGAATAGATACTAAATATGTTTTCCAATAATGTGAAGATTTCATATACATCGAGAATTAATAGAGTAACATAAGCAACAACAACCATGTATGCTAGTACTTTGTGTATTTTAATTACATAATTTAATACATCTAGTCTTTACTTTGAACCATTGAATTTTATTTTCTGCTACTACTTCACTTACTTTTGTTTGATTAGCCAAGTAATATCTTCACGATATACATTATAAATCTGATTCAAGGACTGGTTTACAAATATGTATATTGAATATATTCAAGTCTTTAAATGATATAGTCTAATGTAATAAAAAAGGCGTTATGGTTACATTATGTTTTCTAAGTTATATAATTTAATGAAGGTAATTGTAAATTACGAATCATCGGTCAGGTGGTATAGTGGTTGTTGTAAGATTTAGAGATCCTAATACCTATCTAGTTTGTGATTGTTGGAACACATTTTCGATACATTTCAAACCAAGACAAAACACTTAAGCAGTACTTTCTGATCTCTGATGATTCTTTGATTAATGCTAGTTTCTGCTGAAAAGTATTATCACCTAGTTAATAATTGATCAGGACTTGGAATTCAAGTCATAAAACAACCAGTTAGCTTAAAATACCAATTACTGTATCACAAGATGTAGTTAAGAAAAGAAATCCCAATGAAGATTTGCCTTGGGAATAGTATATAGATCTATTTTATGCAACTTGAAAACTTAATGGGTATGAATATCCAGAATAATTTAATATGGTGGCTAGGAATTAACTTCAAAGAATAGGAAAAAAGCATAATATTGTCGATACATCCTATAATAACCATAAAGAGCTGCTTTCAAAAGGAACCCTTATTAACGGAATAGTCATTTGTAAAATAATTTTATAAAGAGATTGATCATGCTTTACTGTTGACTTTAATCTTATAGAATAATGCAAGAACCTAAAGGGGCATTTTTAGCCTAAATTAAATAGAACACTATTTTACAAAGTAATTGAAAATATAAAAGATTTAAATATACATAAGGTCATTTTTGAATAATTCTTTATATCCGAAGATTGATTAAATAGAGGAAAAAAAGGAAACCTTTCGAATTTTTAGATAAACTGAGCAATTAAACTACCTTTATGTCATATCATACAAATAATTGACTAATATCTGAATTTCTAGGTTTACTGAATCTTGAATGAAATTTTTGATATTAGAGAAAGTAAATGGACAACAGGTTACATTATTTTTATTTATGTTTAGTATATCTTATACTTTAGTACACAAATAGTTCAATCGTGATTGGATGGTCAGTTATTTAATTTTTGTAACTGTCAGTTAATGTTACCAATCAGTAGATTCAGTCTCATAAACAGTTATCAAACAATAAACTACAATTTAAGTATTTTAATCCCAATGCTTTTTATTTGATTCGTAACACACCGTTTTAACAAACGCATTTACTTTTAAATGTGCTTCATGACAGAGCGACACCAGCTTGAGAGCTACCAAAATTCAATGAGAACTGGATAGACATCTAACCTGAGTTTCTGGGTTTGTCACAAATCAGAACCTATTAACCCACATGGGATGGGAACGATGACCTTTAATTTTAGCACTGAGGTTGATACTATTAAATTTTTGGGATAGAATTCAATAATTTGCACGATACAAACTAATCTTAGTTTACATAATCTCCTTGAGATCACCCCTTTCTCCGAAACCGGAATAGAACTTTTTGAGTAGTACAATACTTTTTTAGTACTTCAACATACATATAACAAAGTATGAATAGCTTCAAATAATTATTTTAAGGTATTTAATGTAGAGAATAAATTTTTACAAGATCATAATAAGAATTCGAAAACGAGTTGTTCGGATTTAATTTACAGGTTTGTATGTTAGAGTTTGGTTCAATGGCATATGACAAAACCCAATTAGATTTGGACTGGTGGATACCAGATGGCAGTGATACGCCAATGCCATATGTTGATTTCTCAGATTATGTACCTGCAAATGATTGGTTTACAGATGGAGAAGCAGAACGACATATTAGACATGAAGACCGAGTACATCAGGTAAATTAAAAGATTTATTAATAAGAAAATTATTCTACATGTGAAGGCAGCTCAACGAAGAGAGTTTTCTTAATGAAATCATTTACCAAAGCTGTTTAATCGTTTAATAAATAAATGAGTTCATAAAAGATTAGAGAAAGATTACACTATAGTGTTGGGAGATTTAAAGTATCAAAAGAAGGTTGAGTAATGATTCAAAGGCTAAATAAAAAATGAGAGTAATTTGTGGGTAACAAATATGAGAGCTAATTGTCCATCCGTTAGATATGGAAAAGAAATAAAAAGTTTAAAGGTCATAATAGCGATTGTATCATAATTACAAAACAATTGTTATAGTGGAATAATTGATGAATACAGTTAGAAAAGTACAATATAATAATCAAAAACAAAATCAAAATATATTGGTAGGAGACTTTAAATATCAATAAGTTTATTATTGGCTTCCTGTCGAAGTTTTCTAGAGTATAATACGATAACATTCCAAAGTTGCCATGTATCAATAAAGTAACATAATATATAATTATGCCTCTTCCTACTATTTTCTTTTATATGGCATGAGTTCACTTTGGTTGGGGAGATCTTTATGTTGGCCATACTAATATAATCGCTAAAAACATGTTTATGTAAGATTTTTATACCAACCAAAATGCATAAACAAGTATGCAGACCTTATATCACGTAAATTTACCAGTTCAATAATAATAGATCTTTACATTCATTAGGCAATAATGTTTATTAATTAATTGAAGTACAGACACCGTTAAAGATGTTTAAGGACATAAGACTATTTACTCAAAGCACTATACCTAAATTATTTTAACTGATTAGTAGTAAATGGCAGCAGAAAATATGCGCTAAGTTTACCCCAAACGTTCAAATCGATGTCATTAATGAATAAGAATTTTTAAAACTGGTGCTTTCAGTTTCCTCTTTTAAAATTATTTACCGTTGCATAAAGGCTTGTTTGGGGATTACCTATACGTATATATCCATTGCTACTCTACGAATAGTTTCTGAACAATCTGATATTTTGTTTAATTTGTTCATCCCTACATTAGTCGGTTTAATTCCATATACCATGAACCATTCTGTAAACCTATAAGTTCGTTATTCTCGAAGGAAACAAATAGACGTTCTCAAAGATCACTATTTCACATTATCATGAACCAGAGTGTTTTGTGATTAATTAATGTAACAAGTATTCGGATTGATAATTCACACAATAATTAAAGTCTTCTTAAAATGTAACCGAGATTCTTAATCATTTAGTTTAAGATTATTTATGTCATAACCCTCAAGTTTTGTTTGTCTCTTAATTTAAAAAATATTATTTAAATCAGTTGGACGTTTATGTTTTTTTAATTTTTTAATTTCTTTGTCTCCAGTTGCGGTCTGTAAAACGATATCGAGTTAGAGAACATTTGATTGGATCAACGAAACATGAGAGATATTATCCAGTTCTACGTTACTTAATACGTATTTATCGCAATCCAAGTTTTCACTTGTTTATTTTAATTGTTCCATGTTTGTTATTATCACTGCTAAGTTTGGTTGTCTTTTGGTTACCACCAGACTCAGCCGCGAAAATGATGCTAGGTAAGTTGACAAGGATAGATTAATGGTAATAAATTCGACAGGTAATATTCAGCCACAAATTTAATTAGTCGAGTAGATACTGTAGAAGCTTCTTGATTTTCAGTAGTTATCTAGCTAAGATCAATACATGATGTAATCAAAGAACAAATTTAAATGTTAATTCTACTAGAATTTTACCATTAGAATCGCTAAAATATGCCTGAATTTTTTATTTTAAGGTGAATGCAAGTCAATAGAGCTCTATATCATATGCTGCATTTTAAAGTTCAACCTGAAGTCTTTTGTATTCTATCATATAAATCCTCTAAGTGCTTATTTGTAAAGATACTAAGAGAAACAGAATAACTAGCACCAGTTGGTTCCTCGTTTTTCTTTGCTTTCTGTCATAGTTACTAAATGTGGCAATTCTAAATAAAATCAAGGTTAAACAAATGGCATAAAATAAAGGGTAATGAATTTAATATGTAGGAAAACGGAGATTATTTACCACTGTACAGTTTAAATCGAGAGAATCATAATATATTGAGTGTTCTTATGATGAAGTCACTAAACTACTGTATAAACTACTTGGTTATAGTCTAGGAATATATATATATATATATATATATATATATATATATATATATATATATACTGCTTTCATATAAACAAACAGTATAAATATATCTCCTGATCCCTTGTAAATTTCTTTCATTCTAATTATCTTAGGCATAAACATCTTCGTGGGATTTTTCGTATTACTATTACTATTGGCGAAGTCAATGCCTAGTGCAATCAAAAATTTCCCCATTATAGGTATGTTTGTTTTAATGAATATGTATAGAAATATCGGTATTTATCAGTATTTACTTGAGCCATTGATAAATTATGGAATTAAATAATTCAAGTCGTTCAAAAATTGCATGATGGACCATTATGAAATTTTCATTCAATACTTCGTAGTTACGATAATCAGATTCGATAATTAAAATATGCATTCGTGTGATCAACATCAGGCCATAGTTTTTGATGTAAGAGATGGTCAGTAATACTACCAAGGTGTGAAAACTAAAGTTTATGAATAAGTGTTTAAAACTATATATTAATTATCAATCCGTCCTATAGTTCAGCAAGTGTACCCAGTTTGTGATCTATTGCGATACTATGAATTATGTTATTATTTACTAATAATTAGGGGATTTATGGAAATTAGAATTTTCTGAACCACGATTGAAAACTTAAAACATTGGGAATCCGTTTCGTTCTTATTCGGGACTACAAAGCAGTACGCATCCATGACCCCGCATCCAATATTCACTTCCAGGTGTGATACAGTTATCCATCGGAATCAATGTATGTGGGTTGTGCAAGTTCAAGAATTGATCGAATTTAGAACACCGTTGGATGCCGGGTCAGTGGTCTAGAGGTTCAGTGTTCGTACGCAAGCCCTAAGACTCGAGATTCGATTCCTAGATGCGTTGTTGTGGATGAGTAATGTTAAGGAGTCTCGAGCTAGCCCAAATAAGCTGCTCAATGCTCCAAGGTTGCCAACAGTAGTCTAGATGGGATGAGTTCGTAATTTTAAGTGAAAAAAATAACAATTTAGTTTATTTAGTTAAATTAAGGATTAAATAATAGTAAGGACTTTTAGATAGGAGTCAATAAATGGAAAATATTCCAAATTTATTGCTCGGCCTTTTAAACAGCTTTGTGTTTAATCGAGATACAAAGGAAAAAAATATCCATTTATAAAAATAGCACTGAAAGTACAGAGGCATTTATATTATTGGTAATATTAATTTCGATGAATACAATAGCACCCAAGCACTTAAAAATATGAATAAAAACTTTGAACCGAATCAAAGATACTACTGTATAGTAATGTATTTAAACAGTTGCAAAAGAGATACCACTAATGACTAAATGAAACAATGAAGGTTAATAGCTGAACGATAATTTAATATTATACAGTTGTAATTATTTAATGGTTACATGTACTGTCGACCCTACCAAACTCAGTATATGGAGTCAATTTATACCTCAAACACCAACATATTATTTATCCCTTAAAAGCGAGTGGAAAATACTCAAATTAGTTCCTGTGTTGTGTAAAATTTCTTATTAATATTGTACGATGAGAACTTATTTTGTATAAAGTTTCAGAAGATACTCAGTAAAGGTTGTCAGATATGTGTTTCGGCTAATGGTATTTTGGTATCAAACAGCTTTGGAAGACATATTAAATATTAGCCGACTGCACTCAAAATCAAGCCAGGATCCTTTATTGTCTAACGAAATGATATTCATTGGCGTTCTTTCGAATTTTCGTTCTTAAATGGTTTCAAGAAACCAAAATAAAATACTGATTTTAAGCTTAATTTTGCTATTAATAATGTCCATAAAAACCATTAACATATAAATCCAGGGTGTGAAGGAAAACAACGCGCGTTTGCTCAATGCGACTTTATTAGGCAGTGTTTCATATAGTAATTTTGGTTGTTAGAACTTAAGCATTATGTGGAATTTCATGATAAAAAACTATTTACTGTACGTAAGGCAACTTCTGTTAATCAGTAACTAATATCCCCGTGTATTGTCTTCAATCCCAACTCACCTGATCCAGTCAGTAGCGTTTGCAATACGAACAAGTTCATAAAGGAATTAGCTTTGTGTTGTTTTGTTGAGTGAATCACAGTAACCAGCGCTATGTCAAGCTCATATGGGTAATTTTAATTTTTGTACAGACCGATTCACTTATTTATCTTGAGTCATATTTTGACCTTGCCAATTATTCGCTTGTAATCTTGTTTTTTTTTAAGTGAGCGTGTTCGTTCATCACTTACCCTATTCATCACGTTTTTAGCTTATTATTGTCTGGCTACAAATATTGAGTCAAATGGTGTTGGCACACTTTCCTTCTCCACTATGATTCACTTCTTTGTTTTTCATTCCTAATATCTATCTAAATAAACAAGTACCTGAAACAAATTCATCCAACTCAACACGTATTTGACTGCTTAACCTAGGTGTAATATACGGAGTTAAATGGAAGATTTGTATTCATTCCATGTTCATTCGTTTATTCAAATCAGAATTGGATCAACGAGCCATTAAAGGTTGAATAAATTTAGCGTGATATTTTAAACCTAGGTTTTGTAATTGTTACGACCCAAGAACGAGACAAAATATAAGTTAAAAACTTCTAATAGATTACCCATAATAAAGAGACGCTTAGGTAATTGCAGTATGTAACTTACTTGTGAACTAATCCTAAAATGCCTACTTCTGTCTAAAACAGGGAATGAGGCTAGAGCCCTAACGAAAGCTGATCTTTCTTCAAGAGAACAGGGAATAAAATAAACAATATAACCGCAAATTTTTTGGCTTTTACCACTAGTATTGGCCGTTTTCATATCACGTTAGTTACAAGCGATATTTTAAGGGTCGCTAGTTAACCGTATTCCATTTCTAACAACTAAGGGATTAACATATATTATGATTGTTTGTTTATTGAGATCACAGGAAAATATTATTTGATCGTCACCTTCTTTTCTTAATGCATTATCTGTTTTGTTTTCGTTGCTTATTTTGATCCCTTTTCTTGAATAGGTATTTTCTTTTGCTTAAATATGGTCATGGTCACATTGTCAATATTTATGGCTACTTGGGTAGTAAATTTATTTTATAAAGGAAATGAAGGTCAAGCAGTTCCATTTTGGATTCGTCGAGTAAGTCACTTGCTTTAAATAATTGAATTCAACAAATTTAAATCAACATTTTTTACGTAATGTAATTAAAATTTAATCAAAAGACTATAAACAACTTGTTTGACAAAAGTGAATTTTGATATGGAATTGAAACTGCATAGGTTTTTTAATGAATTCTATATCAGGAAGAAACACATTCCGGACTACACTACGACCTAGATTTTATCTTAAAATATTTTAAATTATACAATTTATACTAACCATTTTAATCAAATCTTGAAAATCTCAGTTGTCAACATTGAGTGCTAAGTATCATAAACTACATATATAATATTCGTATAAAAATTTTTTATTTAATTAGTGTCTAACTATTCAGATGTTACATTGAGGAAGAAAGCCCATAGCTATCTGAAGAGCCAAATTGTTGCGTGTTCAGTGAATTTAAGCAGTCATTGCTAACTAATAAGAAATACGGTAATTAGATTCTACTCATAACACTGTTATCTAGTAAGTTTTGTATAAATTTGATAGTTTACAGTTTAAAATTAGGTCTTTTGCTAAAAAATGTTTCGTACTTTGATATCTATTCGTTTGAAGACATTTGTGTTAATAATTCTCACTTTCGTGAATAAACATTACTGTCATAATTCATATCACTTTATACTGAGAGGTACTTGATCTAAACCACAATCATACATTATGTATCACATAGGTTACATGTTTCAAAGCAGAAATTACAACAGGAGTTGAAAGTTAGGTTTTGAGACATGTGTGATTGTAATTTTTAAGCTAAGGTTTTTATTCTCTTGGAATATAAACTGATACTTTATTTTACGACATCTCTTTACAATGTAACGGAAATTTTTGATGCTTGAAAACACTTTAGAAAGCATTTGTTCGATGTTCTTCGTAAACTTTTGAAGAAAAGTCCCAATATCCTGTCTTACTATGTATATATCTTCATAAGTGTCAAAATATAAAAAATTCAAAACACAAACTGAATAATAATGTTATCTATATGTCGAACAGGTACCTGATATTGAAATAGAATAAAGAAATCAATCAAAAACAATTGAACAGAGATTATGAATTTATATAAATTTGGACAGGCATCAGAATGTTAGAAATATCATCATCTACTTTGATCATTCCAAATTTATGAGAGTGCATCACTTCCTCTGAGGTATCTGACATACTTTTTAGGGATATATCCAGGGTTTCTTACAGTTTATCTTCAGATATTTAAAATAAAAATAAACCTACTGTTATCTAGTACTTCTTTGAATTAATGAATATCGTAATATACCCTACAAATATCCCCATAAATAAAATCATTCTGATTTAGGTTGATTTGTAATGCTTTACAAATTTACTAGTAATGTTTTCCCAAAATTAACTGGTTGGGTATTTTATGTCTCTGAACACAAAATTATTAAAATATAGTTGTATTACTTATTAATAATTAGTAAAATGAATAAAATCTTTACATTTGACAATGGAATATTGTTATGCAACCAATTCCATTATCTTCACTTCAAATAATTCAAAGAATATTCTCAACAAACACAAAGGGAAAAGCAAGATTCTCCGACACAACACAGCATGCAACAATCGAATCATACTTGACGGAGAAGATTTGGAAGATGTAAAAACCTTTACATATCTGGGCAGCATCATTGATGAACACGGTGGATCTGATGCAGATGTGAAGACGCGGATCTGAAAAGCAAGAACAGTATATTTACAACTGGAGAACATCTGGAACTCATAACAACTCTCTGTCAACGGCCAACACCAAAGTCAGAATTTTCAATACAAATGTCGTAATAGTTCTACTGTATAGGGCAGAAACCTGGAGAACTACGAAAGTCATCATCCAGAAGAACAAGTGTTTATCAACAGATGTCTACGCGAAATACTTCGGATCCATTGGCCAGACGCCATCAGCAACAACACATCGTGGGAGAGAACAAACCAGATCTCAGCGGAGGAAGAAACCAGGAAAAAGCGCTGCAAGTGGAGAGGACACATATTGAGAACACCCAACCGCATCACAGGGCAAGCCCTCACATGGAACCTTCAAGGCCAAAAGAAAGGAGAAAGACTGAAGAACACATTACGCCGAGAAATGGAGACAGACATGAGAAGCATGAACAACAACTGGATAGAACTGGAAAGGAAGGTCCAGGCCAGAGTGTGTTGGAGAATGCTGGTCGGCGACCTATGCTCCATTAGGAGTAACAGGCGTAAGTAAGTAGGTAATTCTCAAATATATCATTGAAATTTAATTTCATTTCTATAGTATTTCTTATTTTCTTATTTTGTCTTCAAAATTTTTTTTCTACAGTTTGTCATTGATGGAATAGGTCGTATGTTAGGAATTCGACAAATAATCCCATTAATTGACAAGTCACAACGTTTAGATCCAAACATTTCTTCTTTAAAAATTTCATTAAATGAAACTAATTCAATACAATCTAATTACCATGATAATTATTCAATGATAAATAATAATAATAATAATCAATTTAATAATTTTTCTAGTGAACAACAGTTAAATAATATTCATTTAATTAATGAAATAGTTTCTAATCATATAATTGAAATGAAACATAATGAATTAAAACAACATTCATATAATATAAAAGAATTTTTACAACATATAAATGTAAAACAAATTAAATCTTCACATAAAAATTCATTAGGTACTGAATGGCGTATATTGGCATTAATTATTGATCGTTTATTTTTTATTATTTATTTATTTACATTGATTACTATTGCTTGTATTGTTATTTTAAAAACTGATTTACCTGATACAACATTACAATTAATAAATCGTAATGTAGTTGATTTACAATAATGTACACTTATTATTATTATTACTGTTTTCGGTTTGATATTTATTCCATTTGATCTGCATTTTATTCACGTATATAATGAACAAAATAGTTTTGTCTTTCTTCATATTGTTATTTATTAATGTGTTACTTACTGATTTTTATCATTCATAATACACTGTAATCATACATAAACCAATTAAACATTAGTGACATTTTGTAAAATATTTACTCTTGAATGTGTACACTTCATTACAGTGACTAGATCTATTAATAATCTATGATAAAGTTAGCGCTAAATGTTTTTGTCCTCAATATATTTACAATCCTATTATCATTAAATCCAATGCATAAAAATGGTTCTGAAGTTACCTAAGTCAACTGTGATCATTGTTAATAAGAACCAATATATATTAACATATTCGTATATAAAATGCATTCTGTATTATATACGTAATAAAATACACATGAATTTGTAATGCTGTATTCTGGAAACATTTACTGTCTGAAATATATTTAATTATATCAGTGGATAACACTGAAAAATATTCATTCACTTTTTAACTGTATTCTGATAAATTTTCCAATATAAATAAATGGGTTTACGAATCTGAAAGTTGATTCTTTCTTTTTAGATAGATAGTTGTTTAAATTTAACAAAATTACTGAATCTAATTTTGTTTAAACACATATTTAAGATGTTTATCATCGTCTTTTGTGAAATATTGATAGATCCTTATGATTATTTATGATGTGAATTTGAATCTTATGATGCTAATACTAACGTAGTAAACCACTGAACTTTTCAATTAGCACTAAAGTGAAATTTTAATAGGGATTGTTCAGTTTGAACTTGGTTAACATCATAAAGTTAATTATAACTGGAGTCTGTAGAAATCAAAGTGCACTGAGTAGCTATTTTTATTTAGTTAGCTGCTGAGGAATAAAGTGGAACAGCGACCTACCTTAGGATCGAGCACTAAAGCTCTGAGTAGTACTCTGTGTTACCCGTAGGTGGCTGATTTGGTAACATTTTCAATTTCAGTTAGTTCAATTAGTGTTTTATGAGTCCGAAAGCTATGATACATACATAATAATCATAGTTTTGTTGAACTTAAGACAATATTGGAAGGATAGCTTGTTTGTAAATTATTTGCACTGATTTCAACATATTTCTGGACTTTTTTTAATAAACGGAATACACCCATTGAAACATTAAATATGAAAGATTAGTTCAGCAAAGAGTTCTCTTTTTGGCGAATTCGCCAAATGATATATATTATTATCTTAGTTAAAGCATTTTATCACCGTGTATGTCCCGCTAAAATGACATAGTACCTAGGCTCATGTGAGTCTTTGAAAAATGTTTGTGTACCTCTGTTTTATGCCTCATTGTCATCAGATGATCAGTTAACACATTAAAAATGTATTGTCTAATGATCGCAAATTTAATACGACTGGAAAAACAGGAGTTTCGTCTATTGTATTGTAACCTTCATTCTCAACCTAGAATATTCAGATTTTATCTACCGAATGATCTCAACATGTCATTTTAGCTAACAACTTCACGTATAATCCATATTGTTAGTTTCCATGGTGACCAGAGTGGTGGTCACTACTTATGAAATTTGTTCAGTTGGGAATTGTGGCTAGTTTTTGTGGTCGAATCAGCACTTCGGTCACTTCAATATTGCTATCAATTCATATCCCACTGCAGAATTACGGTCTATTTCGTTATTAGTACTGCTCTAATATTAGACCTAATCCCAGAATTGTAGATTTGTCATGATGTAACTGCCTAATCTATAAGGTCTTGCGTGGAAGTCACATCATTGTCTACACTGTCTCATCGTATCGTAACAATTACCAATATATGATGGAGAACACATTTAAGCTGAAGATAGAACAACATATTTAATATGAATAAAAGAGATAAGTTACACAAAAATGACCACGCCCGTAAGACTGAGCCATGCCTTCCGATTGAATTGAATTAATTCCCGCGTTCTCCATAGTTAACATTCTCTTCGTGTCAATTGTTGAATATAAGTCGTTTCAGTAATTACATGCACAGCTTTAAAAGTCGTGTGGCCATGATCCAATGCCACTACACCATCATATAATTGGCAGTGGCATTAATCGACTGAAATATACGCTGTGTTCCCAATATGGTTGCCTATAGCGTCTTATAAATTACACCACACGTTAAAAAGTTTCAGTTACTTTACAAATTGTAAACAGGTTTTGTCAGTTTAGTTTTCGAATGACAGTATTATCTGGTTATTTAGAAATCCTTTAGCATCAAAACTAAAAAGGCCATTGGGTTGGTGATAAAAATAACTGGTCGATATAGGAAAAATCTAACAATCTGAAAGAACCCCACACTTTATTCGCTTTCTGTTGTCCATCATTTACTGATAAACACTGTGGTTAATCTTTTGTGTTTGACAAATTGAGGGATCATTTTATATCATGTCTGAAATCTGTTGTAAATAATTATTCAAATTTCATGCATGGGTTTTAATAAAATATTTCAGCAATTTGAACATCTTACTTTCTACATTTATCACTTATTAATAGACATAAATGCATTATTGTATATCACAGAAGCAGAACAAATCCAGCGGATTCATCATTATTCAGAAAGTTCGTATCATAGTTCAACATCAGTGAGAAAAATCATTCAAATTGACACGCTTATAAAAGTCTTAATAAATAATCTATCAATAGTACAAGATCATAACTATCTTACTCCGAAAATGGAAGCAGTAATTGCATTAAATTTCTGTCTCCAAGATTTCGCGATAAATTAAAACTAATCTATTAAAGAACATGCATTTTATGAGTATTTCAAGCCTTTAGATTTAATTCGATTTCCTATTATTATTCTTATTATAATTATAGTTCTATGATGTATATTAACCAATTGTTTCCACTACTGAGGAGTATTAAGATACAATTCAGTCTCACACCATTATTTTACATACATGCATCTAATTTTATTCAGCATAGTAAGAAAATAAAGGAATAATTGATTTTTTCTCCGTATTCCTAGAAAATTTCCCTCGTACTAATTTGTAAAAGGAAATGAAAAGAAAACAAAAATACTAAACAAAATAAAGCTAATGAAAATTAGGTCAATTCTCATATAAATCTGATCTAAATTTCCCACTTTTCTTCTTTTCTTTTCCTCTCCATCTCTTTGAATTTATAATTTTACTCTGTTTTAACCAACCTTCTATAAGTTATGTTATTGCTTCAACTTTACAGATAGCTTATAACTTGGAAAGTGAGAAAGAGTTTCCACTTGTGTGGTTATATGTATGTAAATGGACGTTCAGAAATATTTGAAAAATATTTCCAGTTGGTTTAAGACAAACTGAATCCAAGTATTTTCATTGAAGCTTTCTATTATGAAAAATTTCAAGCCAATTAATGAGGAAAATAAATTGGAATTTAGTATGTATTTCATTAAAATCATGAAGCAAGCTTTTTGGAAGCACTAGATGGCCTTTTTGTCCTAGCATGGGACTCCTCAATAGTGCGCGTCCACGTCCTTGTACGCGGGATTTTAACACAGAACTTCGGCCTCACGTGTGAATGCTCAAGCTCTAGACCACTAAGTCGGCATCCAATAGTGTTAATGTTTAACTTCAATCAATCCAAGATATTGCGAAACCATCTTCTATTGTCATTGGTGAGTAACTACCTCACATACGACATGGAGTAGCTCCACTGGTCACAACTTCTCACCAGAACTCCGACAATCACCTCTTGAAGCTAATCACCAATCAGCGTATGATAGTATGTATACTGATAAATTAAACGGTATTAATTAATGTGTATGAGTTTTGAATTATTATTATTATTATAAAATTATTGTTATTATTACTATTATAAAACAATAGATATTTTTCACATATTTATGAACTCATTTACTAGGCATAGATTCGAGAGCTTAGATACGAGTCATATTGTAAGCATGAGGTCCTATTTCTACTATTCAGCTTGCTCAGATAAAAATAGGTATGACGGGGTTCAAACCTGTAACTTGTTGAATGAAATTAAAAGCCTTCACCACTAAACCTTTTTTTCCACGTTCAAAATAATAAGCAATTAAATCTCTATTTATTCCCATCATTAATCATATAACTATCAATAAGCAATTAGAAGATTCTAATTTTTTGTTTGTTTCTTAAACCAAAACACATGGGATTTTGAAAAGGTAATAGAAAAAGAAATAAAATATTGAGTTAATAATTCTCATCCTTATTAAAACGATGTCACGTGAAAAGTAAACAAGCAAGGAATATGCTTTTTTTACTTTCACTAATTAATTTGATTTTCGGTTTGCACATACGATAACTCACATATAATCTTTTTTCTTTTGTGGTACTTCTATTTTCCACCTACACTAAATCAATATTTCTGTATTTTCAGAAGCTACTGAGAACATAAATCGGTATTGTATTTTCTAATGTTTTTAAATTTGCTTGTTGTTAGCTATTTCAATCTATAAGAAATGATCAAAAGTCCAATAAATTTTATTTATTTACTGCATTGAGTTAGCAATGTAAAGAACTAGTAATTTACCCATACTATGCTGTATGTCACTTCTACTGACAGATATAATTAGTATATAGCTGCACTCGAAAGTGGAATGCCTGGCAGCAGAAGACTGAATTGAACATAACAGAAACGAAATCGGAGAGTAATCAAAAGAACGACAGAATTAGAGGAACAATGAAGTAGATAAAGAACAATGCAAAGAAGATGCGCAAATGATGTATTTACTGTTTGATTTTCATATTTTGCTAAGCAGTCGTGTGATATTACATAAAACAATAAATTGATTGTCCCCATCTGAGTTTTCATTCACTACTTGTTTTATTTTAAAAGTATGCTTTAATTATACACTAGCTATTTTTTACAGAACCATGGATTCCTTCTGTAGAGTCAGATATCGCAATAGTTGAAAACTGCTAACTTATTCTTCCAATCATATTTTGGAATTTAAAGTATC